CACCCGGCCCCCTCCTCCCCCGCGGTCCACCTCCGCGCCTACTCCCTCGCCTCTGCTCGCTTCGCCCCCGCCCCGCTCTCCTTCAAGCGCCACGTCTCGCCCTCCGGCCTGCCCCTCCACGGCCTTCCTTTCGGCCTCGGCGTCCGCCTCGCGGGTGGGGTCAACGCCGTGGCGCTTCTCTCCCTGGCCGCCGGCCAGATCTGGGTGCTTGCACCGAGGATGGCCGCGGACGGGAGGACGCTTGAGCTGCACAAGTGCGCGGTCATCCAGCTCGAGCCAACGCGGCCGGTGTATGCCATGGAGGTCGCCATGGGTAGGCTGCTGCTCGGCGAGGCTGGCGGCGTGCGCGTGTTCCCACTGAGGAGTTTGATGAAGGGTGGGACGGAGAAGGAGGGTGCCGCGGCATTAGCAAAGAAGGGCTTGCGCAAGAAGAACGGGATTCTGAATGGACTGATTGTGCCGGTTGGGCGTGGTAGTGGCGCCCGAGGTGGTCAAGGAGATGCTGCTTCCGACTGTGAGTATTTCCGGCTTCTGTGAAGCTTTGATTCCGTTTTATAACCAGACAATCAAAGAAGTAGCACTAAAAACTACAACTAGGCGTCATTTCATTTATGCTTGCAATGGTAAAGTAATTAGGTTATCAGCTAGGTCTCATGCTCAAAGGTGTGTCTTTGCTATGTATCTTTATATTGGAGTGTTCACCTCGGATATTCAAGATAATGTAATTGTGCCAGAGGAAATGATGAAACACGAAATGTCTGATCAATTCACATTGTATTTCTTTTTCATTCCAAACAAGGAATATTTGGTTACTTGCATTAGTTTAATTGCGTGGCCCTCTAGTTGTCCCACCCTCCACTTACTGTTTGCTGGGTCAGTAAATGGTCTTCTTATTTATATTATATATAACAGTAAAGGAGCAATAGCCGGAAGCGTTTCCCCCCCTCTTATAAGCAAACTATTTACATTTCTATGTTATGCCTGTTCTTATGTTATCTCGGACCCATTTTCTCCAAACTGGTGCCATTTTCTTATAAGAAACATATTTGAATTGACTAAGAGCATCTCCAACAGGTGCGCAACCGCGCGGCGCGCTAAAACATTTTTACAGCGCGGAAATAGCGGTTTTTGCGCTCGGCAGGGCGCTGGCTCCAGCGGCCGCGGCAAAATATGGCGCGCGCGAGCAGCTCCAGCGGGCACGCTAACTTACAGCGCGCGCGAGCAGCCGGCGCTTGCAAATAAGATTTTACATGTCCATTTTGACAGTATGATGATGTTTGAAACATTAAACAAATGTGCAAAATAAAGACATAACATAGTTCAATTGCACGGCACATCAGCAATCATGCCACATCATCATCCAACCAAGTTCAAAATCACCCAACCAAGTTCATCAAAGTGCTCCTTCATCTGGATCCAATATGCATCTCTACTTTGGCCCCCTCCAACGTTGGCATCCATAGACACTTGCAACCATGTATTGCATAGCAAGATGTCCTCCTCCATGGTGTAGTTGCCCGCTCTTCCTTTCGGTGCATCGACGATACCCTCACCATCCTCGTCCACCTCAAACTCATGGGCGATGCCAGCAGCCGAGGTCGTCCGTGGCGCCATGAAAAGGCCGCGCGCGAGACCGGTGCTTGGAGGAGGGCCGGTGGCGGCGAAGCCGAAGCTCAACCCCGCGCTAGGGTTTGCGGCGGCGGAGGCGGAGGGGTCGCAGGTGTAGGGAGGGGTTGGGGGGATGTCGGCGCGGCCTTCCATCGGCCGAATTTCACCGGCGGTGGCGCGGGGCGGTGCGAAGGCGGGGCGGCCGGAGAGGGTGGCGACAGTGGGTCGCGGGCGCTCGAGTGTCCAGCGCGCGGGAGCGGGCGCACGCTGCCGTTTTGCTCCGCGCGCTGAACCAACTATAGCACACGCGTTTTTTGCGCGTCCGCTGGAGCGCCCGGAACAGCTGCGCGCGTGCAAAAAAGGCGATTTTTACAGCGCGGTGCTAAAATCGCGCGCCTGTTTGAGATGCTCTAATTTGTTCAAAATTCGATAGAGGTAAACAACATTTGGTACCTCATGATAATTAGTTACGTGGATGGGCACCAGACAGACTTTTATTGTGTTCATAGTCATAGGTATCAGCAGGTGCTCACATACATTGTGTGCCATATTTACTAGTACTGTGCTGATGTGAATGACAGATAAATAGATTATGAGTACTTGAGTAGCTTTTGTCGGGTCTTAGGGGCAGGTCCGTGCAGACATGATGATCAATCCTGACCTGTACTAGTACCAACATCTCCTGTATTAAATTGATTTATTTCTTGAGACAAATTTATAGGTAGGATTTCTAGTAGAAAAGATTAATACTAAAGTTCTCTCATACCACTAGCTTCTTGAAGGACCCCTTTTCTAGAGCATGTACTTTCTGGGAATGATCACTAGGACGTGTGTCAACTATATAGCATTCTTAGATAATTACACAGCAATTCATATCTGGTTTCTTTCAGACACGCAACTTACAAGCAATACTCGTAATTGGTACTGCTACTAGAGTTAGTTGTATTCATACAGTCTTAAACAAGGTCTATGACTCTCCGCTTGTACTGCTTGCAGCTGCATTTTCACAAAATCAGTTAATATGTTTCCAATTTATTCTTTCAGGTAAGCTTACAACCTTGCGGGTAAAACAGAGTTCAGGGAGCTATTCCTCTTTCTTTTTGGCATTTAATCAAGAGGATCATAACTCTCAAGGTGGTGTAAAATTGATAAAATCAGTTAAAGCTGTCTCGATCCAACCTTCTTCCAAGGACAAGTTTCTGGTACTTGATTCAGCTGGAGTGATACATGCCTTCAGTCTTCGAAATGCTGAATTGGAACTGGAAGCTGCGAAAACATGTTTTTTGGATTGTGCCATGAAAGTCCAATTGTTTGCTGTTTTCCCAAGTAGCTCTACGAGTGAGTTTTTGTACTGGCTTTGTTCTTTTTACATTGTGGTAGTTTACTTAATTAATAAATGTGTTCAGAGTATTTGTGCAGAGACGCAGATTCTTTGGGTTTCAGATGGTGGACATTCCATACAAATATTGTCAGCATTGCCGGCATTTGATGTTAAGTCTCCTAAAAGTGAAGGTGATGATAGTGATGGGGAAAGAGCGTTAGCAACCATTAAGCTCTCAGGTTTGTAGCATTGGCTTAGTTCTTTTGTTCTCGTTTTTTTTTAATTCTTAATTTAGTCATCTTTTAGAAGTGCATAGTTATTCGGTGTGGATTTTTGGGACATGGGTCTATGCGCACTCGATTCAGCCAAAAAAAAAGATACAAAAAGTTGGAACTTCTTTGTGTCAAACACAGTCTAGCACTCTAGCATAATACTCACGTTTAAAGTTTCGGAACATAATGAGTTATGTCGCATTCTGAGCGAAAAAAACAAAATTGCAGCTACGAAAACCGTAAACAGTACTCCCTCCGTTCCATATTTGTTGTCGCTGATTTAGTACAACTTTTTACTAAATCAGCGACAACTAATATGGAATGGAGGGAGTAGCTTTTATATAGTATTGATTCTGTTGTATTTTGCTCAGAATACGTCACAACTCATTTGTCCCGAAGCTTTAAATGTGAGTATTATGCTAGACCATGTTTGTTGCCAAATTTTTTCAAAAATATTTGTCTAATTTTACTTTTTTTCCCAATCCGGATCCACACGCGCCCAGGATCACCGTTGTATTTTTGGCAGTTATTCTGTTATTGTCAATTTATGAGAATTTTGAAATCTATCGCCTACTGAAGTATGGAAGTAATATTATGAGGTTGCGCTGACTGTTTTTTTTAATTGTAATTGGTTTTGCTGTTGCTCAACATCATAAGGTCATGCCGGACCTTTGATTACTGAGCTAGCATCATGTATCAGTTGACACACTTGTTTACATCGTTGCGTGTTTAACCTCGGAAGTTTATTCATAGTACTTCAAAGACACAGTAATTGTTCAGAAGAGTAGCATTACCTATTATTCACTTTTTATATTGGCCAGTTTTCTTCCACAGACAAAGGAAGTGAGTTCATTTGGTTTAGGTGTTCTATGTAGTGCTTTCAGCAGATAGATCATAACCCTCTTTTCCAGGGGATTAACTTCTGTTGTCCTGCAGCTACTGAAGCCATCTTCACTAGTGAAAAGGTTCAAGACATTGTACCTATCTCAAAGGATTCCGTGCTTATCCTTGGCCAAGGTATGAGATAGTGATGTATCTTGAAGCTCAACATTCTGGATTGCGATAAATCTGTTAATATATCGGTTTTGTTTCAGTTCTTCCTTCTCTTATTTTCAATTTTTCTGAACGTCATAAATGTTGTTTTTTCAGGCAACATGTTTTTATATGGAACTGCTTGAATTTGGCTTGTTATCATATCCGTGGTAAACCTATCGAAAGAACTTTCTGTCTTCTCCATTTTTCACATTCATTGGTTTGGTCTACACCCACAATTTTTTTTCTTTTGATATCAGGTGGAGACACAGCTGTTGTTTAGATCATGAATGTGCAGCTTTGGATGGGTTTTTGACCAATGATAGGGTGGGTTGGGTTCGATGATTAATAGATGCCTCTATTTGTCACTTCGAAAGCCACTCGTGTGTTGCTCTCTAATGCTCCCCCCTTTTTTCTAGTGCAGTGTTTGCTGATCTTGAAGACGTACTTGTTCACCTGTTTTTGGAAGTCATGAGCACCATTAGTATTTTAATTTCAGTAAGCAGAGTAAAACTCATGACTTGGATGACAACCAGCAAGAGTTGAAAGGTGCAGGCCATTCTATGCTGTCTCGACTGTCTGAAAGCAACATTGCAAAACTCCGAGCCATCTTTCAGCACAGCTCGCTGATACTTCTGAGCAGGTGATGCCACATTATGCAATGCATGGATTACAACAACTTGGCTGTTGTCTATTCACATTTCTGCATGCCGGGACAAGGGCATTTCTGGTTGCTATGGCTGCAAGAAGGGGAGGCTGCATGCTGCAGCCCTGTGCCCAGGCTCCGCTGTGGTGGATCACCGCCAAGTGTGGTTGGTTATGAGACTGCTCCCTGGCGGTGGACTAGGAAGTTGATCCTACTGCAGCAGGGAGACTGGGCTGTGGAGCTGAGTGTGGTGTGTGCTTTCTTGTAGTAGTTGCCAGGCTGTGGGTGCCTCAGAAACCAATAATGCAGCACTATTTCTGTAAGGTCAGGCCTAAACTGGAACGATAGGTAAGGTCGTCCATTTTATTATGATGTGAGCTTTGCTACAGCCTGCTAGTTTGTGGTTGTTGATGAATAGTATCGAGAGCCAGTTATTTGTTTCCTTTCTTTTTTTTTTTGTTCGTTCACAAATATAAGATGTTCTGGATGTTCCAGTATGGACTAAATATGTACTGAAATGAGTTAACAAAGACACTAGAACGTGTCTATATACATCCGGTGCGTGCGCAAAAAAGTTACTGTAAACATCTTATACTCCCTCTGTTCACTATTATAAGATGTTCACCATGCTGATGCTCCATTTCACTCGTGGGCGGCCGATATCTGGTTTAGTGGTCTGGTCATCGAGCTGCAGTGTTCTGTAAAATGGGGTCTAAATTAATGGGGCATGAAATTGATCTTCATAGTATCATACCCCTTGCTCCATAGTGCTTATATTAAAACATTACAAACTTTGACAATGTTTATAGACAAAAATATATACATTTAAAATAACCAATGCATATCATTGGATACATCATCATTTATATTTCCATATTTTATATGTTTGAAATTGTATAGGTAAATGGTTTTCTCTTTAAACTTGGTCAAAGTTTGGTTAGTTTGACTTTAAGAAAAATCTATACACACTATGTTATTGAACGGATAGAGTATATGCAAGTGATTGCTTTATTTATGGACGCTCGTAACTGGCAAACGTTCGGCAGAGAGGGTAGCACACGCGAACGTTTTAGGTGACACTTTTAGTTTTGAGTGGAGGGTAGCACACGCGAACGTTTTAGGTGACACTTTTAGTTTTGAGTGGGTGGTAGTTTCTTCTGACCGAAGCTGGGTAACATTACCGTTATTTATTTATTTCCTCCCTGTTACCGGACCAATTGGTGCTGTGATTTCAAATCGATATGGTAGGACATGTGTTGCTTTACCTATATCTATATCAATATAAAAAGACCCAAAGAAGCAGATTCAATTTATTTCGGCCATCAAACTAAGTCAATCCAACGACCTAGAATGCTTTAATGTCGAGCGTTCAACGTGTTTAACATGTAATTAATATCATATCAAATATTGCACTAATCACAGAATTAACACACAAATAATAGCATACCTAATATCCGTGTGCAATTAATATATTGTCTAAATATTAATGTGCAACATGTATAATTAATATATTACCTAAATATTAATGTGCGTTGCACGTGCGCATTTACTAGTACCCTTAAAAAGACAAGTGTTGCTTTATTTTTTCTTTCTCAACGTGTATTTTGTCTATTCTGGTGACAAGTGACTCCCGCCCCTTCCGCCGTGCAGGACGATGCCTCGTTTTCCTTCCTCAAATGTTTCATCCAGCCGCCTACCAGCTCTCGACGCGACATTCTCCGGCCCCGCTTCAATCTCCCCCTCGTTCTCATCCTGGTATTTCTTTCCCTTGTATCCCCCGGCTCATCTCATAGGGGGTACGTGGTTGCCGCCTTTGGGCTCCTCCAACAAAGATAATCCCCTGCTTGCTTGTGCACACGCTATCCGTGTCCCATGCACCCACACGCAAGGTGTTTGATGGAATGCTTAGGAGGACATGAACTATGGATTCTTAATGATCAGGTATGCTTTGAAATAATTTGGGCTGGTGCCTGGTGGGAGGGACATGATCAAGTTAAAATGCTTCTTTTTGCGAGGGAAAGTTAAAATGCTTTAGTTTCTTATTACTGCCTTGTTTGGCTTAGAGCAGGTGCATATTCATGAGCACCTCAAACATAGTCTTGGGAAAATTGCTGTCTGACGTGTAGTCTTTATATAGCATTCTGAAAGCATGTTTGAAGGAATATCTACTACTTGGTATAGCACTTAAAGCCCTCAGTTCTATGAAAGTAGTTGGATGCTCTTCACCTGCTTGCTACTGAGAAATTCTATGGAGTTCTCTATGTGACAAGAGAACTAGTCTAAGAAAATGGATCAGAGAGACCCGAAACACTTGAGAACGCCGGACAGACTAGAATACAAGCCGAGAATAAGTTGTTAGACTAGCCACAATTCCATCTCTATGACGAGTAAATAGCATAAAACTACTAGTTTACAGGCTTTGGTTCCAAAAAACTACAACTTTTTAATTTTTCTCAGAAAGCTACCAAACGCGCGGTCCGCTGTTTCAAAAAACCCAAACCCTCGGTGACTAGCGATTTAACCGTTTTTCTGACGGATCGGGCCCATCTGTCAGCCCACGTGGCCACGCGCTCTCATGGCGCGGCTGTTAACGGCCGTTAGCCGACCGGCCCGGTCGGAACTGGGGTAAATATACCCGCTCGGTCGGTCGGGCGCACCCGCAGCTCGCTCACTCTCTCGTGCTCGCTCACTCCCCTTCCCCTGCTCTTAGTCCCCTGCTCCAGTACGAGGTCGCCGCCGCTCGCCGTCTTCGAGGCCGGTGGCCGTCGACCTCCTTGCCGCAATGCCTTCCTGGAACGACGAGGAAACCAGCTCGGAGGAGGAGTGCGAGGCTGTCAGCATGGACATGGGACTTATGGTAAGTTCTTTGCCACCTAGGGTTAGGGTTAGGGTTAGGTGCTAGTAGCCCTAGGCTACAGCCATGGATGTTGCTGAGTGTAGTGTTGTTGTTGTGTGTGTGATACTGTCTCTGTATAGTGTAGGATTGAGGTAACCTAGGGTTCGTACTCTCTCTGTACAGTGTTAGGGTTCATGCTGATTTGGGGATTTTTTAGTGATCAGGTTTAATGAACAGTGCAAGTTGATTCTGGTATTGAGTGCAGATTGAAACCAGTGTTTGTTGGTTATTATGGTTGCAGGAGGAACCAGACACCACTGTGGAGCCCCTTTTCTGTGGCCAACTTGAGCTTGCTCATCCCAAGTGCATTCTGCACCAACTGAGGCCTATTAAGCGTGTTGCTTTTGAAGGGCCTGTAACAGGAAGGCGTTTCTATGGCTGCCCAGTCCAGGTTAGATGCCAATCAAGTTTTTTGCTATGGATGTTCAGTTATGTTATTAATAGTTAGAAAATAAGGTACTAGTCCATTTGTAATAACTTATCACATTTACAAATGCAGGAAAATGGTGTGAATTGTGGTGTTGTAGAGTGGGTTGATGGGCCTTGGCCAACTGTTCTTCAGAGATGTTTGTGCAAGCTATGGGAGATGTTCCATGAGCAGAACATTGGAAGGGTACAGGACAAGGAGAAGTTTGAGAAGGAGTTGGCCAGGCTTAAGAGTGAACATGATAGGGAGTTGGCCAAGCTTAGGAATGAAAATGACAAGCTTTGCATTGAGTACACCAAGCTTGTTGATGATGTATCCAAGATGTTTGATTGGCAGGATGGTAGGGTGGACCAGAAACAAGTGCAGGAGGAAGAACTTGAGAAGAAGAAGAAGGAGCTAGAGGAGAAAGCTATGTTGGAGGTGCCGATGGAAAAGCTCAAACTTGCAAAAGAGAAAAGGTGCATTTTGCAGAGCCAAGCTGATATCATCAAGAACACCAGGAAGGCTATGAAGGATGTTCAAGTTGACAGAGATGTTCTTAAGAAGGAGAAGGACAAGCTTGAGCTTGTTGTTGCTGAGCTGCTGAAAGATGGCTATGGCAGCAAGGAGAAGTTAGAGCAAATCAAGGCCATCCTTGAGTCTCGAACTTGCTGTGATATGTTGGTGAAGTAAGTACATCCAAAGGCCTTTATATAAGGAAGTGGCTTGGCATGACTGCTAGTGATTATGGGTGTACATTTTGGGGGAATGTGAAGTTTAACCTAGTGTAAGAACCTTATTTCCTATGTTGTTAAGTTGTAATGGATCACCTATGGTATTAAGTGTTGTAATGGATCTCCTATGCTATTAAGTAGTGGAAATGGATCTCTTATGCTACTAAGTTGTGGAAATGGATCTTGTATGTTGTTAAGTGTTCAACTTGATCTTATATCTTTTATATGTTATTTGCTAGCCTACATATATTATTTTTGTGGGTAATTGGGCTTAGTGGCCCACTAGTCTCTGACCAAATGCAACCCTAGGCCTACTAAACCCAACCCCATCCATCTCTCAATATAAACCCCTTCCCACCCCCACCCTTTCCCAGTGACTCCACCAGCCGCCACCCAAAAGAAACCCTACAGATGGATCCTGACATGGGAGATGTCACAGAGGAAGAGGGGGAGGCTGTGGAGGT